AGTTAGTTAGAGAGAGAGAGAGAGAGAGAGAGAGAGAGAGAGAATTTGGTCTGATTATATTTGTGTGTTACATGTATTGATTTGAAGTCTAGCGAGAGAGACAGAGAGAGAATATCCTGAAGCCAAGAATGGGGGGATAGTACATGGCTATCTTGGGATTGGTGTTCTTATTCGCTCTCATCGGAAGATTAAGTGCTCAGCCAGGTATGGTTTGTGATACTTGATTTTCATTTTACTTTTGGAAGTTTTCATTCTCTATAACAATTGTATTTTCATTCTCTTGATCTTTAGAAAATTTTTGTTCTTGTATAACTTTGTTTTTTTTTTCTTGACAAGAGTATGTAATTTTATTAATCACAAATAAAAAATATCTCGATAATAAAGTCAAAGGAGAAACAATTAAATGATCGTGAACTCCATCTTTGGCGAAAGAGTCTACCCTAACATTTGCCTCCCTATAACCATGGTTGAAAACCACCACTTACTTCGACAAATATCCAACACAACTTTGTTTATGTATTAATTCTTCAATTAAGGAGCTGCAATGAAGAGGTGGAGAGCTCCTGAGGTTATATATTTATGTGTAACCTATAAATTATTTATCATCCAAACCAATCGAAGCAAAAATATTAGCCCTCAGTATCTTACCCTCCCTTGGTTATATATAAGTATGATACTGGTGCTTGCTCTCAATAATATGGGTTAGAAATGTTTGCTAATTAATCCGATATTAAAAACTAAATCTAAACTCCTATTCGTTTAATACCCATATTCTCCGGTTAATTTCAAAAAGAAAGTAGCACGTTCTTATGGGGTTGCATACTATGAGACCGTTGAGTTTTAGTACAAGGTCACAATCATTTTTAGCCATTAGATGTGAAATCTAATAGATGAAAGTGTGTCACAACATTCGAAAAATTTTATTTTGGACTTCGTACCCAAACAATAATACATCCTCAATCGCCTGTTTTCAAATGTAAACAGTCTATGATTAAGACCTCCTTGTATCAAAAGTAAATGGCGTTGAAATAATACTCGATATGGTTATCCATATACCATAGTTTTGGGTCATTAAGTATGAGGAATATCTTGGTGATAAGTTGGTGATATATTCAAGAGATATTTGGGGAATTGGTTTTTGTTTTGTAGTTATCATGTAAAGTTTTATTTAATACTGGGTGAATGAAATAATGGGTACGACTTAAGAGCCCTTCAACCGTGGATGTATGTCTAAGAGACCGAACCACGTAAAAGCTATATTTTCTTCTTCTCTTGTTGCCTCTTCTCAATTTCTTCTTCAAATGGTTTCATTTATTGATTGACCAATTTGCCCTCTTTTACATATTTGCCAAAAAAAGAAAAAGAAAAAGAAGATGCTTAGTTAATAGGCATGGCATAAAAGTTGCAATACACATCCATGGTTAAAATATTAGCTTACCCACACAAAAACAAAAAACGAAAATGTAAATGTCGTTAAAGTGGGTAACTTCATGTATTTTTTTATTTTTTATTTGGTAAGTGGAAGGCTTCATTTTATCAAGCCATGCACAAATTCCTTTTAGGTCATCTCAATTAGAGTCATCCAATCCCCCACAAACTTATAACTTTCTTACTTCTTCTCAAATAAACAAATTTGATCAAATAAAAGGTTATCGCCTTGAAAATGATTAGTGCACCATACTAACTAGGTTCTTGAAATTAATGATCGAGTGTACACTACAACCCATTTGGAGAGCACCCATTTAGGAGTTTAGGGGGAAATAGCATGGGCCTCTCCAAAATTGAAGTGCAGGGACTTCTAAAATTCCACAAAATGCTGACAAACTTATGTTGTGAACTTTTTCCTTCACATATTCACAAATAACTCCATTCTCCAATGGATTTCTTAGACTGTCCAAACAGGTCTATTCTTGCACTCTAGTTAAGTGGGAATGGTTCTCTTGTAAGTCTATTGGAGTTTCGCTTAAACATAGTCTAATGTGTTGGAGTTATCGAGAAAGAGGATGTGAAATGATGACGAAATGAACCTGCCATACTAATGAACTGATCTTTGGCTTGCAGAGATGTGAGTCATGATGTGATGCAAATAATATTACGGTTATTTTAATTTTTTATTGTTCTTTTGTTTATCTCTTCAGATATGCGCTTTTGCACAGAGATAATTAGGGTGGGAGAGAGTTTATATTGTGTTTATCTTGTATCAGTTGGGTTAGTTTAGGAAGATAAATAGATAAGGTTAAATTAGGGGAGTTAGTTAAACCTAAGGGGAGTTTTATCAAGAATGTTTTAGATAAAAACATGGGAAGCATGACTTTGGATAAAATGTGGAAAATCTTATCTTTTTTGGTATGTGATGGTTAAAGAAAGAAGATATGGATGATCAAGAAATTAGGTTAGGAGTGAGAAAATAGGGAAGATAAAATAGGAAAAGTGTAGAGACAGTTTTCTTGTTATTGTTTATCTTATTTTTTAGTTTATTTAAAGGGAGGTTTCCCTTCATTGTAAAGAGGGTAGATGAGTTAATAAAATTTGGTCTTGTGAAGTGATTATTTTGGGGTAGATTCCCTTGCAGACCTTGAGAGAGGGTATATTCTCTCAACCTTTTTCTTTTTATTTTTCTGTTATTATTTCTTTCCATCAAAGATGCGTCATGATGCTCCCAAGGGCAATGGGGATAGAGATGAAGATTCATAGTCGTAATGAACATGATGCTTCGTTGCTCCTCCAGTTGTAGGTTATGTAAGGAATATTATCGTCATCATCCTGCTGCTCCTACCAATGAACATAGAAGTTTATAGGCTTTCTTGATAGAGAGATTTGCATGCGAGAGATACCCCAATTCTGCTGGTAAAACAAGCCCTGCCGCCATTTTCCACCCTAGGTACTGATCTTAGTGTTAAATAATAATTGCATGCGTTATAAATATAGGGGGAGAGAGAGAGAGGAGTAATCAAACCCATCTATGTTTGCTTCCATTCCAAGGCTCTGAGGGCTAATCGATGACTCTCTTATGCCTACCTGAGTTATTAATGTGATATGAAGCAGAGCTGGACAAAGGGGATGGAAATGCTGATCCTAGAAATGACAATGGCTTGGGGAGAGAAGCAATGCTCATGTAACCGGAAATGGTTGGTGATAAAGAACAAGTAGCTTGAAAGCATAAGAATTCCAAATTCTTTCATTCCCCTTCTCGCATGTTAGATCAGATTCTTCTACTCCTGTTGATCCCCATGTCCATTTACAGCTGCCTCACTTGGTTCTTTTGTTCCGCTCTAAAGATTGGCATTGAGATTGATGAATGGATGGAATGATTGGCATGGAGAGACATATGTGTTATGGTTGCTCGTTCAATGATATTTTGTATAAGACGTATATACTACTACCCAAACTCAATTCGATCTATATACAGGGCCCTCGTGTAAGTCAGACTTATATCGAAAGCTTTTGAATCAACTAGAATATTGAACCTCTGAACTTTAAATACTTCTTCCGCAATTTAATGAATAGTTTCATCGAGAAGACTCGGAAAAAAGCTTGTTAAAATACTCATAGTATGCTTAATCTATCTTCACCAATCCCTCATGATGTTTTGTTATTGAAGACAAAATTCGAACTACAAGCAAATAAATTGTTCAAGCTCGCAGAGCGTCAAACTTTGTGGGCTGCTCGTTGCTTCGCATCAACAAGGAAAACTTGGATGACAATGGTTTAGAACACCATCTAGTCTCACATCACCATGCCGCCCCCTTGAGGAAATAAAGGTTTGATACATTCAATTCCTTATCAAATCAAACATTAATTTCCGGGCCCTGCCCTTGTGAACTGTTCATGCCATGAATTCAATGCTCAACCCTTTGATATTGCAATTCAACATTTTTTTTTATCAATTTCACATAGGTAAGGGGAAGACTGGAGGAAGGGATACTGATCGGCTCACGAATTCTTTTAGGGGGTTAGCCGGGGAGGCCTCTGGCTGAAGATGTCCAGACAAAAAGAAGCTAAGAAGACATCGAGATTTCATGGCCCCTCTATTCAATATGGATTCACTCGAGGGATCAGGAGTGGGGAGAAGCAACTGGTTGCTCTATCTACACTGGTTCTCATTCAATCATTGTAGGTTGAATCTATGCAATGGTGGGGCTGCTTTAGACAACTTCCTAGTCCTGATCCCAATTCTGCTGGTGAAGCAAGCCCTGCCGCCAGCTTCCATCCTAGGTACTGATCCTAGTGTTAAACAATAATTGCATGCGTTATAAATATAGGAAGAGAGGAGTAATCTAACCCAGCTATGTTTGCTTCCATTCCAAGGCTCTGAGGGCTAAGCAATGACTCTCTTATGCCTATCTTAGTTATCAATGTGATATGAAGCAGAACTGGACGAAGGGGATGGAAATGCTGATCTTAGAAAGGACAATGGCTTGGGGAGAGAAGCAATGCTTGAGTAACTGAAAATGGTTGGTGAAAAAGAACATGTAGCTTGAAGCATAAGAATTCCAAATTCTTTCATTCCCCTTCTCGCATGCTAGATCAGATTCTTCTACTCCTGTTGATCCCATGTCCATTTAAAGCTGCCTCACTTGGTTCTTTTGTTCCGCTCTAAAGATCGGCATTTGGATCAATGAATGGATGGAATGATTGGCATGGAGATACAGATGTGTTATGGTTGCTCGTTCAATGAGATTTTGTATAAGACGTATATGCTACTACCCAAACTCAATTCGATCTATATACAGGGTCCTCGTGCAAGTCAGACTTATATTGAAAGCTTTCGAATCAATTGGAATATTGAACATCAGAACTTTAGATACTTCTTCCGCGATTTCATGAATAGTTTCATCGAGAAGACTCAGGGAAAAAAGCTTGTTGAAATATTCATAATATGATTTAATCTAGCTTTATCAATCCCTCCTGATGATTTATTATTGAAAACAAAACTCAAACTATTAACAAATAAATTGTTCAAGCCCTCAGAGCGTCAAACTTTGTGGGCTGCTCGTCGCTTCGCATCAACAAGGAAAACTTGGATGACATTGGCTTAGAACACCATCTAGTCTCACATCACCAGGTCGGCCCCCCGAGGAAATAAAGATTTGATACTTTCAATTCCTTATCAATTCAAACATTAATTTCCCGGCCCCGCCACCCTTATGAACTGTTCATACCATGAATTCAATGCTCAACCCTTTAATATTGCAATTCAACATTTTTTTTATCACTTTCACATAGGTAAGGGGAAAACCGGAGGAAGGGATACTGATCGGTTCACTAATTCTTTTAGGGGGTTAGCTGGGGAGGCCTTGGCTGAAGATGTCCCAACAAAAAGAAGCTAAGAAGACATTGGGATTTCGTGGCCCCTCTATTCAATATGGATTCACTTGAGGGATCAGGAGTGGGGAGAAGCAACTGGTTCCTCTATCTACACCGGTTCTCTTTCAATCATTGTAGGTCGAGTCTATGCAATGGTGGGGCTGCTTTAGACAACTTCCTAGTTCTGATCCCAAATCTGCTGGTGAAGCAAGCCCTGCCGCCAGCTTCCACCATAGGTACGGATCCTAGTGTTAAGTAACAGTTGTATGTGTTATAAATATAGGGAGAGAGGGGAGTAATCTAACCCAGCTATGTTTGCTTCCATTCCAAGGCTCTGAGGGCTAATCGATGACTCTCTTATGCGTACCTGAGTTATCAATGTGATATGAAGCAGAACTGACAAAGGAGATGGAAATGCTGATCAGAAATGACAATGGCTTGGGGAGAGAAGAAATGTTTGAGTAATCAGAAATGGTTGGTGACAAAGAACAGGTAGCATGAAAGCATAAGAATTCCAAATTCTTTCATTCCCCTTCTTGCATGCTAGATTAGATTATTCTACTCTTGGTGATCCCCATGTCCATTTACAGCTGCCTCATTTGGTTCCTTTGTTCCGCTCTAAAGATCGGCATTGGGATTGATGAATGGATGGAATGATTGGCATGGAGAGATGGATGTGCTATGGTTGCTCATTCAATGAGATTTTGTATAAGTATGTATTCCTACCCAAACTCAATTTGATCTATATATAGGGCCCTCATGTAAGTCAGACTTATATTGAAAGCTTTCGATTCAACTGTAATATTGAACATCAAAACTTTAGATACTTCTTCCACGATCTAATGAATAGTTTCATCAAGAAGACTCAGGGAAAAATGCTTGTTGAAATACTCATAGTATGATTTAATCTATTTTCACCAAATCCCTCCTGATGATTTGTTATTGAAGATAAAACTCGAACTACAAACAAAAAAATTGTTCAAGCCCACCTCAAAGCATCAAACTTTGTGGGCTGCTCATCGCTTCGCATCAACAAGGAAAACTTGGATGACAATGGTTTAGAACACCATCTAGTCTCATATCACCAGGTCAGCCCCCCGAGGACATAAATATTTGATACATTCAAGTCCTTATCAAATCAAACATTAATTTCCTAGCCCTGCTACCCCTATGAATTGTTCATGCCATGAATTCAAAGCTCAACCCTTTGATATTGCAATTCAACATTCTTTTTTTTACCAATTTTACATAGGCAAGGGGAAGACCGTAGGAAGGGATACTGATCGGTTCACTAATTCTTTTAGGGGGTTAGCTGGGGAGGCCTTGTCTGAAGATGTTCCGACAAAAATAAGCTTAGAAGACATCGGGATTTCGTGGTTCCTCTATTCAATATGGATTCACTTGAGGGATCAGGCGTGGGGAGAAGCAATTGGTTCCTCTATCCACACTAGTTCTTGTTCAATCATTATAGGTCGAGTCTATGCAATGGTGGGGCTGCTTTAGACAACTTCCTAGTCCTTTGAATCCGACATTGAGCTAGCAAGAAGAGCCTTCTTGCTTCTTCGGTCAATTGTCTCCATGATAATTAGGATCATACCTTGGAAGTCCTAGGGAAAAGATTATAAATGAGAAATGAGTCAAATAATGAAAAATGAACCTTCGGTTTAGTTTGACCCAATTTCATAGGGAAGAAGTAATTTCAACATATTCTGTTGCCACCTCCCAAGCTTTTTGGAGAGAGCTGGAGGTGGCTTAAATGTAGTAAACCTTAATGAACGTCAGGGAAGACTTCAACTTAAGTTAATCTCCTTACGTTAGTTGATAAAAGGAGGAAGATGAATGCTTTTCTTTCCTAAAGGAGCGGAAGCAAGGCGTTCTTCTGCAGTCAGTATTGTTGGTCTTAATCTCCTCTAGCCGTATGGTGAGGCAAGGAAGTCCTAGCTAGTAAAACGAGTCAGATTGCTTTAAGTCCAAAAGACAAAGGACATATGAACTCTTAGTCCTTGGCTTTTAAGTCTGAAGGCAAATCCCAAGTCTTCCTTCATTAGTTGGTTTGGTGTTTAGTCCTAACCAAAGTTTTGAAATTCAATGGTATGTATCAGATGATATGTAACAGAATCACCCGATCTAGATTGAAAATCATTATGAACGATGTGGATCCTATAATATATCAGGCACCGGCCGTGTCCCTCTGGAACCAGATGGTTCGAGCTGGTCCATATCGGTTCGATGTCAGAGAATTGGAGAGAGTGCCTGTCTGTACCTATTCTACATTCCTTGTAAATCACATGTTTTCCACGTTTTTTTCTATGTTCGTTGTAAATTGCACGTTTTCCACGTTTTTTCAAAATCTTTATTTTGCAACTCTTTTCCAGTTAAAAAATATGTGGTGGCTCAGCTTTATTTTATACTCATGAACGCCACCTAATCCACTCATATGCGCTAGGCTTACCGCATTCGTGAGTAAGCTTACCTCATGCGTGAGTACTTTAATTACTATGTGGGGTTCCAATGTTTTATACGGCCATTTGCTCACAACAATTATTTGATGTGGGGTAATTTTTTTGAGCCCTCTCTCTCTCTCTC